AACCGCCCCCTTGACGACCGCACCCACAAAATACACCCCCGCTTGACGTTGAATTCCCACCATAACCACCCTTGACCTGCATACCCTCCCCATTGCGACCCCCCCCGCCCTTGAACCCCGCTACACCCGCGCCCGTGACGACGGCATCCATAGTGTACCCTGAGCGTAACCTGCCCTTGACGACCGCACCCCTGCGTACCTTTCATGTCGGGAAAGGAGGAGTGTTCAGGGGCAGGGGGGAAGTCGCACCCCCGCCCTCCTCATCGCATCCACCCTTTGAAGCCCAGCAGCTAGAACCGCCCCCTTGACGACCGCACCCCTAGCATAGCCTAGCACAAGCTCGGCCAGAATCGCGAACCGGCCCCCTTGACGACTGACCCCTACCCCTGGATACTCTCCTCATCGCGGCCCCCCCCCTGTGAGCCTAAACGAGCACCCAGTATCCGAGATATTTTTGGGAAAAGGGGTGCAGCAGCAACAGAGTGCCACCTTCTTGTTCTCCATGACATATCGTGCAAGGTAGAGCATGCAAGTGCAGGACTTGGGGGGGGCGGGGGCAAATCTCTGGCAACATAAACAGATTGAAGTTTACTTCCGCACGGCTGAAATTGTCTGATGGCTACAATGTCTGAGCTTCAGGCTGGGGCTTTTGAGGGCACGATTTTGGCATCCTTGCCGAGAGTAACCTTGAGGACGCCATTTCGAGCCAAAATGCGAAAAAGCCACGTCCTGTTCCCGTGACGTGCAGGATGCTCCATAGAGGAGCGCCAGGAGTCAGCCTGCCGCCAATCCTTTTGAATTGGAGGAGGCTCCACGCGGTTTCGCGAATTTCAAGCTGAACTACCTCCAGTCCTTCAAACTTGGAGAACGCTGCATGTGACACCAGGATTTGAAGCCGCGGGATCGGAGAGTGCGGTGAGTTGAGTGCGAATGTAGAATTGACTGTGACTTGCTTTGGATGCATCACTGAGTGTTAGCTGATGTCAGAGGGCGGGCAGCAGGGCGGGCAAATGCCCCTGAACCCTCCAGCTCAGAGAGCCGAGAGAGCTGGGGCTAAGGTTTCGGTTCTGGCCTCGCTTAGAAGCGTCAGCTCATCCTCGAGTGCCTCCAGCAAAGGCTGAAAATAGGGTTGTGGGCTTAGGATGTGGGATAACTCAAGGACTGGCATAGGCCGCATTGTATGGACCATGTTGCTGATTACCAAACAAAAACCAGCCAGGCATTTTGGACATGTTCTTCTGCAGCTTTCCGTATGGTTAGACTCAAGCTCTCTTGACCTTCCTCTGTCCTTGCCGCTTTCTCCTAGTTCTATGACATCCAAAGGGGGTATGGAAGCAACAGCCGGCACGCATCCCTAGATTGGTTTTTCCTTAGGCTTCAAGATTCGGGGTTTTGGCATTCAGTCCTTAGGGCAGCTTCTGCTTGCGGGACACTCTCCTGTCCTCAAGTTAATGAAGCGAGTCCTATTCTCTTCTAAGCCCAAGAGCAGCTCTCCGGGTCCATATGTTGAAGTTGAACCCCGACCTTTCATTGCTCCACCCTTCCCAAACCCCGATAGCCAAACACTAAATCCTGACAGCCAAACCTTGAACCCGCATACCCGCTTCGCACAGACTCCCCGGCCTGGCGTTGCCTTGCACTGAAGGTAGGAGCGTGGGGGGAAGAAATCTCCTCCGAAAAGCGTAGGGCAGGGTTTAGGACTTGGGCTGCTAGATTCGGGGTTGAAGTGCTGGATGCGCTTCTCTACACCTAAGACCAAATGCCCAAAGCCTGACAAGCCAAATGCAGCTCAAGGCAGGTCCCAAGCTCCAAAGCTCAGCCCGCAGGTCCTGAATGACAGCCTCCAGCATCTCACAAGATCGCTGCTGTTGAATGTGGGTTTCGGCCAGAAACCTCAGCTATGCTCACTACGCGAAAACTGGCCAGAGCCGGCTTCAGATCCCAGGTCCTGAGCCATAACCTCTATCATTATTTCTAATCGCTAATGCGAACCCCCTGTAACGCAGTCCACATACCGTGAACTTGAAAAGGCATGCTTGAAGATGCCTCGGCACAGCTTTTCCATCTCTGGTTCTCCGAAAATGGAAATGAGCATCTCATCCAAGGTTGGATTCCGCTCTGCCTTTCTAGAAAAGAAAAATGGCGGCTGGGTCGAGGAGCTGCTACCAAGGTGCTGCTGAATCAAGGCTCCTTGCTGAAACTAGATTGGAATACGCTCGAATCTAAGGGTGGTGAACAATTACAGCCAAACAGAGCACAGAAAAGAAGCAGACTAATCAGCATTGAGCATTCGTACTAGTATTCTTTTTGTGTGTGAATATCAGATATCAGTATTGGTGGTTAGCCGTCGTTGTCAGTCCAATCTTGCTGGTGTTGCTTGCAACCCTAATCGTTATGTAGGGGGTATGCTTGCGAGGATTCCTGTTTCCTGGTATCCTCTGAGTGCGTTGTGCGCACTTTAATGAAAACCTCCCACATCCTGAAGCTTTAAAACTTTGCACCTCTCCAAGCCTCTGAACCCAACACCCCTACAGCCGGAAAGCCTCAATCCAATATCCTTGAGAACTGAGCCCCGATTCCCTTGGAAACCCCAAGCCTAAACAAAACGATATTCTCAACAAGTTAATATGCAGACCACACAAAACCAAGCTTCAACAACCTAATCATAAAACCCTGAATACCCCTTTGGCCGCTGTGCCTCTCTTCGCAGCTTGCGTTGCTCGCGTCGACGCTTGTTGTCACGCCGCCACCTCAGTGGTAGCTTCGAATCGCTCACGGATTTGGGAAGTGCGGCAGGCCCAAGCCGACAAGCTGCTCCAAGGTTTGAGGCCTTTGAGGAAGGCTACGAGGATTAGGGGCTATGGACAGGTTATGCAAGTGGTGGGTAAGGAATCGGGTGGCGTTGTGGCCCCAATATGGAGGTAGTCGCCAGAGGTCAGGTCCCAAATGCTGCTGGGTCCTGTGCTTCCCACCAAAAACCCGCAATTTTAAGAACAGCCAAAAAGACCTGAGCAACTGGACGTGGCAAGGAACTTCAATGAGTCCGCCTGATAGCACTTCAAACTCTAAGGCCTCGGAGACACGCCCGAATATCATGTTGAAATCTCCATGCTTTTTTTTTGAATCTGTCAGCGCTTGACAGCATGGAACATCTGACTGTCTCTCTCTCTATCTCTATCTCTCTCTCCCCTTTGCCTTTGGTTTGAGAAGGCGCCATCTTCAGGTACCGCTCCGCGTGATTTTGCCACATACTTTTGCTTCCTTGCGCATACCCCGAAAAATTAGCATTTGCGATGCTGAACGGCGAATTACAAATATCATGGCCAAAAGCATGGCCCCTCACCTGCGTCGTTGTAGGAAAGGACGCAAGACAACCCGACAATGTCTCAGCGCCCCAAAAAGTTCGACAGCTCAATTCCTAGCTCGTCCGCGGGACCTGCAGCAACAAGGAGTTTGTCAAAGTAGGGATCTCCATGTACATACCAACAAAGTTCTGTCCCTCTGTTCGGGAACTATAAGCACCGCAGAATGTTACAAACTTCAAAGACAAGCTTCAAAACCAAGTCGATAGGCTTCTGACAGGAAACCTAACCCCTAGAATCCCTGTAAGTCTCCTCATCTGCAAAGGTGGGCAGTTTCAAAACTGTGTGGCCTCTTTTCCTGGCCAGGAACAACGGAATCTGTCCGTTCCTTTCGAGGGTTGATGGAAACCCTGCACCTTGACCAGATACCGGGATATGATTTCCAAGTCAACCGAAACCCGGTCAAGTTGAGAAATCTCTACTTCTCAAATCGCTGAAGCCAGTCGAAATCCATGATGTCTTCATGCTGGGGCACTGGAGGATGTCCTGCACCGAGGGCAGTGCCTGAACCTGCTTGGTTGGTTTTGTGTGGCTCTGCAGTATGCAGGACTTCAGGCTATAGGATGTTTTCGGTTTAGGGATTTAGGGTGCGCGTAGGGATGTTTTGGTATCGGGGGTGTGGGATTTGGAGAACGTGTCGCAGGGGTTTATGGGTTTGGGGCTTGGGCTTATGTAACAACCCGTGCAGCATGTTCAGGTCTCTGCATTACGTGAGTGGATGCTTAATGGTTGATGAGGTCATCAGAAACTCGAATTCAGCAGTGCTTGACTGGTTTCAAACGAATAGGTTACGCGGTCGGTAAATACTAAGCAAAACCCAACATTGACAAGCTGTTTTTTTGCCCCAGTTCCTCCAATCTTCTTTTTTGATCCAATTCATCCAGTCTTCTCTTACAAGTTTGGGTTTGTGTGCTCCCGAAAGTTTGGGCTGCCGCTTTACCTGCACCCTGATAGTGTCTTGCCTCGCTTCTTTGCCAAGCTGGTTATCCCAATTCTGTTTGACGGGCTTGGGTCTTTCTTTGCTTGTTCATTGAAGGTGTTGGGCTTCTCGGTGCGCCCTCATGACGCTGTTGCTTTGCCCCATCACTTGTTGATGGGCTAGTGTCTTTCTATGCTTCCTCACTGAGCCATTGCTTTTCCCCCATCATGTTTGACGGGTTTGGTCCTCTACATCCTCAAGAACTGACTAAATCGCTGCTTTACCCAAATCCTGTTCAACAGGTGTGGGGTTTTCTTTGCTTCCTACCGCGCTGTACTCAGCTGTGCCCCTATCCGGCTTCACGGCATGGAGTGTTTCTTTGCGTCTTCACTCATCTAAGGCATGGGTTTACGCACATCCCGTTTGATGGGTTGGGTCTTTCCTTGCCAAACCTGTGTGACGTGCTTGGGTCTTGTTTCTGGTTCCTTGCGAAGCCTCCGCTTTACCCAAACTTACATGACGGGTTTGGGTCCTTAACTGGTTCTTTGCGAAGCTGCTGCTGTATTCCAATCCTGTTTGACGTCGCTTCCTCACTAAGCTGTTGACAGCTTACTCCAACCCTGCTTGACAGGATTGAGTCCTTTAAAAGACGCACCCAAAATTCAAGCCTTCAAGAATTCCCTTTCCAAAACCTCGCAAATGCACTTTTCTCTTCTAGGTGATGCTCTTGAAGCAGGTACGTGAACCTGCATAAGCTTCACTGCCACTATCTCCAATACCTTCGGCTTGTGTCCTTGATAAGGAGCTTACGCATCCTGAGCTCTCAATAAAACGATGCCAGGACAAATTGTAATGCCAACACTACAACACCGATCTTGATCTCATTGGCACACCTTCTTGCTTGAATGCCAAGTTTGGTGCTCTGTCGTGTTCTGTCAGCTGGTGGATGTATGTTTCTCAAAATGCACTTTCACCACCAAACCTTGTTCATCATGCTTACTGAGAAATGTTGTGCTTAGCTCCCCAGAGTGTGGAGCCCTGTTTCAGCTTGATTTGAAGACAATCACAGTCCAACAACTTTGACAGCCTTGCAAATGATTGAAGCTTGCTTAGCAAAGGCAAAGCTAGTTCACGGTTTTCTCGAACGCTGCAAAGAAACTTTGTAGCTTGCGTATGAGTTCGTCGGCTAAGCTTTCGGCAAATCTGCAGCTCCCATGGCTACCGTACTTGAGTAGGCCTTGTTCGTGCTTCATTTGCTAATTTAGACACGCCCTGGCTGATGCTTTGGAAGACTTCATTTGTTTTCAAAATCATTTTGTTTTGGCCCCTCACTAGGCCATTGCTTTGCCTTACCCCAACCCTGCTTGACAGGTTTGGGTCGATCTGGGCTTCATCATTAAGCCGTTGCCTTCCCGAATCCTGTCTGACAGGTGTTGCTTTTGCTTCCCTTCCTCAGCGCTTGCTTTGCTTCATGCTATGCTCCAATCCTCATTCGCGTGTTTCTCTTTACTTCCTTACTCAGCATTTGCTTTGCCCAATTCTGCTTGACGAGTTTGGGTTTGAGCCTTGATTTCTTAACTTTTATTCCCTCACTAAGCCATGGCCTTACCCAGAGCCAGTTTGACTGGTTTGGGTCTTTTCTCGTTACCATTCTAAGCCTTACTAAGCCGTTGCTTTACCTAATTCCCGTTTGACAGACTTGGGCCGGTCTTTGCGTTCTCACTAAGCTGCTGTTTTAATCCGACCCTGATTTCCCGAGTTTGGGCCTTTCTTTGCGCCTGCATCGCACCAGTGGTTGGAACCCAATCCTATCTGACAGGTTTGGGTCTTTCTTTGCTTTCTCACTAGGCCATGGCTTTACCGGAATCATGTTTGACAATCCTGATTTAACGGTCTGGGTCAATGTTTGCTTCTTCACTAACCACCCCCTGGCTTAGGCCACTCCCTCTTGATTTCTTAGCTAGTTCTTCGCTTTCTCAAATTGCTCTTTTATGCCAATCCTTTCTGACAAAGCCATTGCTTGATGGGTTAGGGTCTTCCTCTGCCACCTCACAAAACTGTCGCTTTGCCCCAATCTTGCGTGACGGGTTACATGGAGTAGGGTCTTCCTTTGCTTCGTCACAACGCCGTTGCTTCACTCCAATCTTGCTCGCTGGGTTAGGGTGTTATTCTGCCTCCTCACAAAGCCGTTGCTTTCCCCCAATTTGGCTTGACGGGCTTGAATCTTTCTTTGCTTCTTTGCTACGCAACTGCCGTACCCAAATCTTGCTTGACAGGCTCAAGTCTTCCTTTGTTTGCCTCAGCTGTTGCTCGACCCCAATCACGTTTCACGGGTTTAGGTCTTTCTTTTCCTTTTCACTTGGCCACTGCTCAACTCAAATCCTGCTTGACGCTTTTGGAGCTCTGATTTCTTCTTGAGTCGTTCTTGCAACCCCAATCCTGTTTGATGAGTTTGGGCGTTTCTGTCCTTTGTTGCTAAGCGATACGCTTATCCAAATCCTGTTTGGCGGGCTTGGGCATTTGCTCCCTCATCAATCTGTTGCTTTACCCCAATACGGCTAATCCAGTTCATGGGCTTAAGTCTTTTTTGCTGCTTCGCTAAGCCGTTGTTTCACCTAGTACTGTTATAGGCCATAAGATAATACAGCTTGTCGCCTGCAACATGTTGGCTTGCAGATGCTACTCCTTGTGAATGACAGACTAGACTATTGTTCCACTGTCCCATATGGCTGCAATGGTTGGCTCTGTTGCCAACTATACAAATTAAGCATCGAACATACATTTCCGTCTTGGTTTGATATTGAATACACAAGAAAAGAATATGAATGAACAATACATGTGATGGCAATAGGAAAATGAGGTGTGGCACTGCATGCATGAATCCCCAAATCCCGAAGAGAGTAGGAGGTTCGCCCAAAAAGGTACTCTGGCAAAGGTTTCTTTCCGGGAAGCCTCTCGCACAAGATTTTGCAAATCAAGCCGCTGTTTCCTGTCAGCAATTTAAATCCTAATTTTGAAGATCGCTCCTCAAACTCTGAAACTTGTCTATCACGAGCCTCTCGCTTCGTGACTGTGAGCCTGGGCACACGCTCCAGTGGGACAATTCCCTCGTCCTGCAAAGGCTTCGGGCTTGGCTTATGCAGGGTTTTCCATGCAACCACTGGTGGTCACCACTGCTGGCGTAAGGCTTGAGGAGTTTGGGATTTCGGCAAGATTCTTGGAAGCAGAAACTCCACAGCGATAACGGTAGCTGGAATATCTTGCGCGACTCTTGGGAGCGCTTGATGGTCAAAGGCTGGCTGTTGGCAGCCCATGCAGTATCAACCTCCGCAGCCTACATTCCCCAAATCCAATCAGCATGATAACAAAGACCTAAACTCCCTCCTTGCGTGGGTCCACAGCAAGCTTCCACAGCTTCGTCAAGATGGCGGTCGGCACCTTCTTGTTTGTTGCTATGAATTTGCAGGTGTGCTTCGCGGCATTGGAGCCGCCTACCCTTTGCGCAGAAAAAGACCTGTACCATGCCGGGTGCCTGGGTATTGCTGAAAGGTGATGCAGGTTGCAAGTTTCAGGCTTGAGAATTTGAAGACCTCATGCGCAGAGCAGGGTATCTGACTTTGGTGGCTCGGCTGGGATCCACTACTACTACTGCTGCTATGGCTGCTATTGCTGTCATTGCTGCTTCTACTATTCTTTTGATGCTACGACAACAGCGACTGCTACTGCTACTTGTGCTGGTACTGACACCGCGGGGACCACGACGATGACGATGACGACGTCAACGACGACGATGTTGGGTCAGCACATGAGAATCATCTTTACACCCCGAAATTCTCTGACAACCCAGTACTGACCTTCTCCTCCGTGATGCGGTAGGAGAGCCACAGACCATCATCCTAGGCCAGGCGGTTGTACTCACTCTGATGCGCTGGGAACAATACAGGAGTCCTGCAGGTTGATCGGAGCTTCAAAATGCAAGGCTTGAATCCGCACTTGTAGCGATCATTGTCTGCCCCTAGACAGAAGTCCCCCTGTTGGTCCATTTTGATACTCCAGAAATGAACCTGCTCACCTACCGAGGACCTACTGCCATGCGAGGCAGCTTGAGGAGAAGGACGCAAGGGTTTTCATGCTCAGGGAGGGGAGAGGACGTGGAGCATTCCAACACGATTGAAGCCCATAACACGTGCCGTTGGAATTGTATAGCCGGTTCGGGGTTCATCGGACACTTCCTGGAATCCTTTTAACAAAGCATCCAAGATGCTGAAAGACGAGCCCTCCAAGACTATTCTGCACCATGAAATAAAATCTGTCTACCTCTAGCAATACTTCCCTTGGCTTCATACGACGATGACCTTCTCGGCTGTTGAACGCGCCGATGACTTCGAGTCTAAGGCATATACCAGGAAGACGGATAGAAATTGTCGTTCTCACTTTAGGTTCAACACCACAATGCAGGAGGTGGCGAGCCTTGAACATAAGAGCTCCCAATCTTAAACAGGTTTTGGGGTTGTTTGGGGGGCACAAAGATGAATGTAGAATTCTGAGCTTCAAAACGAAGTGTGTCTTGCTTTAGAAGAGGAATGAATAGCTTCGGGTTTGTAAGGCTCAAAAGTTCCTACTAATGGCATCAGGCTTTAGTAGTAGCAGGTCTAGTATGATCGTTGGCGAAGCCTCACACTGTAAAGCACGCGCTACCGTAAACGTTAGCCCTCCTGATCCCCAGATCCCCCAAGTCCACAAAATCTCGAAAACTTAGTTGTTGGGGAGAGCAGCATACAACTAGCCTTGAATCAAGGGTGCAAACTTGTTTCTTATTATGTTCTTGCGTGTATACCTGCGACCCAGCTTTCCCCCGCGCCTCTGCAGATTCTGGTCGCGGGGAGGCCACTGCATTAGACGTGACCTCGACTTAAAGAAGGAAGTTTCTAAAAAGAATTCAAGGAACTTTTTGAGGCTCAGGTTCGGGCTCCGCAAAGGAGCGCTCTTAGACGTCCCAGGCTGTACGTAGGCAGAACAAGCTCGTGCTTCCAGCGGATCCGACTCCAAGGCGTCTCCAAACTAGAGCAAGTCGATCAGAAGAAGGAAACCTATTTAGAACGCTCGGATACATGTTATGAGTTGGATCTATGAATGCATGTACTCCAAGTAGACTTCAACGTCTAGAGTTCCCCTTATCCCAAGGAATTCTTTCCTCCACAGGTTTCCATGCAGTTTGCCAAACCACTTCCACCGCAAAGTGCTGCCCCGACCCTGTGGGGTGAAGCGCCAGATTTTTGCAGTGAAAAGTGCACGAGACAACAATTTGCCACGTGTTGGTACTTCTGCAGTGCACAAATTCTTGAAGAGTGGTACACCTGTTAAGCAGTACGAAAACAATAGAGACTCCTGTACTGGCTGAAGCCTTGCTGCCAACTAAGGAAGGTGAGCGCGGAGTGCAGACATTAGAACCTGCCAAGAACTTTGCCTGACCCTGCTCCGGAAAACCAACACAAAGCCAATGCCACATACGCATGTTTGGCGTTATCGGGAATCCATATGCTCCACCGCACGATAACGGACACTCGCTCACCTGTACTAAATCAGCCCGATAGGTATTGCAGCTGAGGTCTTCATGCAGAACGCGCACCCCTCAATAACGGGACACCTGTGGCACTAATAGTTCATCTCTACACCGAGGCCTCTCATCCTGAACCTTGATCTCCTGAACGTCATCGTCCCTGGACCCAGAAGATGGTCTTAAAGCCATGCGCCATCCGCAAACGTACCCCTAAATTACTACCATCTAAACCCTAAACCGACACCCTCCAGGTGCCTCATCCGGGGCCGGCGAAGGCGAGGCAGCCGATGGTGAGGCAGCACTCGAACGCGTTCGTGAACGCGCGCGACCCGTCTCCGGTGGCTCCTTGGATGAAAGCTGTCTGAGGATAAGTTGGATTTCTCAAGTATGCCTCCTCGTCGAAGCCCATTACAGGTGGGTAATTTCGAGGCCTTCCATACCACCCCACTTGCAAACTACCCACCTGTATGTAGCTTTAATCTTGGATGCCTGTTGCGAGGCCCCTTGTTGTGGACGGATGAAGAGCCTCTTTCAGGAACTCTCTCCTGGCTTTGGGGCTCAACGATTCCAGGTTTAGGGGGCTAGGCCTGGGGTTAAGCTTAACCCCACCAGCTGTTCTGGCTGTTCGGCAGCAAAGCTTTCCTGCTTGGGCCAGACACTGCTGGAATGTGGACACTGTGTTGGCCAGCATCATAAACCCATGTGAGGGTGAATTTGAGTGAAGGATAGAATGTGGGGGTTCGGATGATTCCGACGGCCAGGTGAAGGGTGTTTGACTGGGATGACACGCCCTACAAGGAACCACCGCCGTCTTGCTGAACAAACCTCGGCTTTGAGCAGGTAATATCTCTTCGGAAAGGGCCGGGTCATGGTGAGGATCGATGAGTCTGAAAGGTTCTGCTGGATACCTTTCCATGTAGAGGTGGAAACCTGAACTCCAACCGGAGCCCCAATGACGATTTCGGGGGGTCGCGAAGGCAGAAGGGATAACGCCTAACCCGCGGCTGTCACATCCCAGCATCCATCCATCCATCCATCCGTGAAACCATTCCATTCCTCCATCCCTCCATCCCCATCCATCCCAAATGCTGTGGTGGAAAGGCTGTCCACCGTGTGGCGAGGCAGAGGCCGCGAGCAAGCAAGTCCTGAAACCCTGAACCACAAACCCCAAGCCACATGAGAAAAGCCCCGTGGCGGTTGAGGGCCTGAGGTGTACTCTGCGGAATCAAGATTCAGATCCTTCTGTGCAAGCCATCTATCTAGGGGATGCCGCGCTAACGATTTGCCATTTTGGTTTCAAAGCAGAAGCCTTCAAAGACCTCAATTGTTGATTATCTTTCAGCCTGAACTTCTCTGCGCCCTACGGTTGTCCTACCGCAGAACCCTGCGCCCCAGACCTTCCAACCCCCGTTGTAGATCTTGATCCTCAAGCCGAGGTGCTGGTAGACTCTGCAGTTCATCTGGGGACGGAGAGCGCAGGAAAGGCGACGGACTCTCCTTAGTTTGCCAAACAATTTCGGAACAGGGGCGCCCCTTGTCCAGCCCCACGTATTTGAAAGGAAGGATCCATGGCATGGCTGATTCTTTTTGCTAAAGCGGTCACGCAAGAATGTTCATCAACCGTCTAATTGACTGCATGCTGTGCGATTTCTTTTTGCCGCCCCTGTCACCGGAACGCATAAACAGAATCTTCCACACCAACACTGTTTGCATCACCGCGACCCTTGTTAAGATCAAGCGTTCTGCTAGAGTGCTGCCACGTTTAGCCTCTCCTAGATGAGAAAAGCCCTCATTCTCAGTTCTACTCAAGATGCTCATCAAGCACAGACACAGAGGCTTACAACTAGGTGTTTCTTGCGCTGCTTTCGTTATCATAGCTGTTCGTCTTAAAATGCAAGGTTTATGTCGACTGCGCAGCAATACTATTTACTGCGACGAAGCAAAGAAAGCGCTTGCTGAATCCGCTCCAAAGCTTCTCTAGCAATCGGCGACTGGGGTAAGATGGTTGTTTGGCCGCCTGGGCAAATCGTAAACTTTGCCAACTGACCCGCCATCTATACCCAACCCCCAAACGCCTGAACGAGGAATCTTCTCGCGTTTGGTTCTTACGTGAACGTGCAAAGCCAGGTGGTCCAACAACTGAAGGTTTGCTTGTTACCAGATAGCTCAGGTCTTTGTCCGCGGACCGGTGCTGACACCCATGGCTAAGCCAGCTAAACATACAAGCCTGGAATCTACAGAAGCTATGCACTGGAAAGCCGTGATTGATTTCTGCAACTTACCTGGAACTCCCCCATGAAACACCACAATCGCTACCAACATTTTTTCAAACTCTGATCTGTTCCCTGAACTTTCCAGCAATTCCGTACTGTAAAGCCTCGATTTGGAAATCTCAATCCGAAGCTCGAGCAGATATGCCTCGAATAGAAGCTCAGAAGCTCTATCACATTCAATCTCTGATGCAACACTAGAAGGGCCTGCAAAAGCTTCAAGTCCCTCCACGTTTGCCCGATTAGTGAATATTTAGTCCCAGCAGCAAGCCCTGGACCCTGGACCCTCAGAAATCCCAACCTTTTAGTAATAAACCTCAACAACACCTAAATCGTAAGTATCTTAATTTCACTTGTAATAGCGTGAGCCCCTACCAAACCCAGGCCGAAACTGGGAACCTTGCAGCGCGCAGCAAAGATCCCAAAATCCCTATGCAACTTAAAGTCCCACACATATTCTTAGCATACCGCAAAGCGTCAATCCGTATCAGCTCGGAATTGAATCTTGATATGATCCCTTGAACCCCAATCCTTACACTGTGCGACTGTCCTACACCCTCAGCTTTGAAAGGCGGCTGAAGCTGCCTCGAGCCAGACGTACTCTCCGGGAGGAAGTGGCGATCTCGGACAGCAGATCCCGCCAACCAGTGTCCTCAGAGCTCAAGGTTTGGAGTTTGAGGGCTATGGCATTCAAGGTCCCTAGATTGAAAGTGGAAGTGGTTCGGGTGAAGGGTTCAAGATTTACGCTCAAAGATTTTGGATTTGAGGGGTTTGAGATCGCGCTGCCGGTCAGGCCAATGAGGATAAGGGGCCAACGGGGTACATAGGGTGCAGTAGGACTATAGAACACCTGTGAGCCAAACACTCCACTCTGAAGGGCACCTCTAAGCGAAACACCCCAACCCAACGGGCACCTCTAGGACCAAACACCCCCAAGCCAAACACCCCTCCCCAAAAGCGCGCCTCTAGTGGCCAAATGCCCCATCCCAAAGCGCACCCGCCCCAAAAGGGCACCTCAAGGCCAACCACCCCACCCAAAGCGAAGCCAAACGCAGAAAAGCAAAACGCGCGTGTCCAGGGCATTTGGCTTAGAGGCACGCTTTGGGGTGGGGTGTTTCGCTTAGAGGCGTGCTTTCGGGTGTGTGTTGGCCTAGACATGCCTTTCAGTTGGAACAAATTGCTTTAGAGATGTGCTTTTTGTTTATGTGGGGTCTTTGGCTTAGAGGTACAATCTTTTTTGGGACTCCGAGTTCGACATAGCCCTTTGCACTCTAGCTCTGTTGGTACGGCTGACTCAGGAGTGAAGTTGTTCTTGCTAAATACTCTAGAGACCGTTGCTGGTGAGCAATATCATCAAACCTTGCAGAACCTCTCAGCTCTAAAGCCTTACACATCCAAATTCAAGTGCGTCAAAATCCATACATGTTCCTGCAGCCCTATGTAATGCCTGTGAGATCCCACGCAAGTTCGCGCACCAAGAGCTGAAGTCATGAACAATAAGCCCCAAACCGCTACCCGCAGAACAGGACAGCGTCAATCTCCCGGTGCAGTGGCAGCTGTTCGCGGTCCACTTCGCTTCCTCGCCCGCGCCGAGACTTGCGCTTGGCCTGGTCTAGGTAGGTACTGTCTGAGGCATGGGCTTAACCCAGTCAAGTGTTGGAAGATTTAAAGTCTAGAATTTAATCCAACTCAGAGATTCCAGGCTAGGGCCAGGCACATCGCCTTTCGGCAAGTGTAATCCACAACGGTAATTGCAGAGATCATCTGCGGGGGGTTTAACTCCTGCTTTTGAAGCAAGCCCATTGGGTGCGCTCGAGGTGAGTACCTGTGCAGCACATAGGGGGGACGCATGAGGACGCATAGGGCCGCAGGGACTATGCGGGGGTTTGAGGCGTAGAAAACAATGATGGCAGAATAGGCTTTTCATATGGTCTGGGAGTTAAGGAATGGGCGTTTCGATTCCCAACGCGATTACCATAATGCTTACCACTACTCTGATTTCCCAGGTAGCTAAATAAGCATCAACGCACCTGTGTAATCATAGGACTGGGTGATAATCAGTGGAACCCGTGCCATTAGATTGGAGCAGAAGAGATCTTCGCTCGGAATAGCAAGAATCAGGATGCTTCTGTCTGCCTGTATGAGGATGCGCATGATGGAGTTCTAGCAGCCAACAGGACCAACATGGTGAGAATATGGGGAAACAAGCTATACTAAGCTCCTCCGCGCATCCCAAACCATTGTGCCGAGATGACACGAATCCTTTGCAAACGCTTCACTAATCCATGGACGGATCCAAAGCGCATTATTGGAAGTTCGCTTTATGTTCGCTCATGTAAACTCTAGAAAATCTGTAAGTATCCGTGTGACTAAACATGGTTGGATGACAATGATCGGTCAAACTTGCCAGTTCCTCCACGGGGAACTCCTAAGCAGATCTATCAGGCGTTTTGATGCTGTCAAGGAATAGGCTAAGCCTTTCAGACCAAGACTTCATGATTTCCATTCGAGAACTTTTCGGGGCCCTTTTTCGGGCATGGGAATACCATTATGAACAAAGAAGCTTCTCAACATGGCAGCCTTTGTGCGTCTTGAACGGTAGATCTTATCAAAAAGCTACCTACCAAAACAAGGACCCATAATCTTGACTTGCAGGTTATACGCTCAAGATCCCAAGCCCCAAATCCTCAGCCAGAAAACTAAAGCTAAGCAGTATTTCCCCTTCGGTAGGCCTGCTTAGATGTAGCTTCACGAGCAGCTTCGATGGGAGACATATCTCCTCTGGTGTGGGCCAAAGTTGAATGTTTCTCAAGGAGGTGTGGTATATCACATCTGTCCAAGAACTACATCACGTTGGTAGTCACCATGTAAGATCTGTGGTAACTATATGGGATGGTTTGTCGGAAGTATCTTTGGCTCAGCGTTCACAGGGTGTATGGAATGTAGAATATTCAGGAAATCATGCTTGAGTCAAGCGTCCTTACACGCCAGGACTTTTGAAGCAAGGATTGGACCGGGATTCGGCAATTTCGAATGTCAACACAGGAGTCACGAGCGGCCTTCAGGTTTTACCACAAAGCACGTGCCTTGCAATGGGCTGCCCCCTTTTCAAGGGCATATGGGCTGCGCCCAGACACACAATACAAGGAGCTGAAAAGCTAGAATACAGGATTCAGGGTTTTTCTGTTCACGGAAGAAACGTTTTAAATTCTTTCGTACCCCAACATGGTTACGGCCAATAAGAAGCGGGTTTCAGTTGTGCGAGTACTAAATATCCGCCGACACATCACGCGTATCCTGGTGTCACCAGACTCGCCCTCCCCTTTTTCTATCCACCCACCCCACCATACGTTTTTAAGGCCGCCCCTCTCCCTGGCCCACCCCCCCCACGCCTCCCCCCCGCACCCCCCCTCGAAATTGTTAGGTTTTTAAGGGAGCCAAAAAGGTGGAACCTGGTGCCCCCCGGCCCATCTCCCCCCCTTGCCCGCCTCCCTGGCCCACCCCCCGCACGCCTCCCCCCACCCCCCCCTCGTCACCAGCCAAATCAGACCAATTGTTAGGAGTCCACAAAAAGGTGGAACCAGTGCACCCCTTGTTCCTCCCACACTGCTCTCTGGTGCCCCCCCGCCCATCTCCCCCCCTTGGCCGCCTCCCTGTGCCCCCCTCCCATCTCCCCCCCTTGCCCGCCTCCCTGGCCCACCCCCCCCACGCCTCCCCCCCACCCGCCCTCACCAGCCAAATCAGCCCAATTGTTAGGTTTTTAAGG